ATAAATCTGAAAGAATACAACACAGGTCGCCGTGTTCAAGCTGTTAATGTCTAGGTTTTCCAGGGCTGTGTCTTATAGTTCTGTTTTTATTGTGTACAGACTAAGGATGTGAAAAGAGAGGCCCAGGTTACAGGTCTGAATGAGGCACAAGATAAATTTGGTTATATTATCTGGATATTCTAACTTTTCACTTATTTAAATTTTTTTAAAAAAATATTTTTATTGATTTCAAAGAGGAAGGAAGAGGGAGAGAGACATAGAAACATCAATGATGAGAGAGAATCATTGACTGGCTGCCTCCTGCATGCCTCCTGGGGACCAAGCCCACAGCCCAGGCATGTCCCCTTGACCAAAATCGAACCTGGGACCCTTCAGTCTGCAGGCTGATGCTCTATCCACTGAGCCAAACCAGCTAGGGCCACTTATTCAAATTTTAGTAACCATTTTAAGAGATAACTAGATGAGACAAAATACAAGGTAAAACGTAGAAGCAAAGCATTTCATGGTCCAGTGGGCAGAGTGCTGGCCTCTGGGTCTTTCCCTCTCCATGCTGTGACCTCAGCTAAATCACTTCAGTAACTTTCAGCTCTGAGCCTTAATCTCCCATTCAGTTTCCTTATCTGAAAATGAGTTACTGTGACGAGGATGAGGCAAAATCAGAGAGATCACAAAAATGGTTTTAATAGTATGAAATATCCAGAAGGTCAGAATATTTCTGTGATAATTAGAAAAATGTATCTATGAGAGATCACCAATCTGAAGAGGTAAGCTAAAAACTTCAGGGGTGGATATTTGACCTGAGTTATCTGGGCTTACTGCTGCAAGTTCTTGTTTCACGTCTGCAGACATAGCCCTAGAGTTCAGTAAAATGTGAAAACGTTAACTAGGTACTCTATTTTATGAGATTCTATTAAATTTTTCACTGATTTATTACATGCTGATTATAGAAGCTTCCCACAGCTCAGAATGGTATAAAGAAAAATTACTTTCCCTCCACTGCTCTTGCTTTTTCCTGCCCCTGCCCCGCATACATCCACATACACCCACGTATGCACGCACACACACACACACACACACACACACACACACACACACACACAACTCCCAATTTCCACTCCCTAGAGATCATCTTTAGCTTCTTGTAAAATCAAATACTTCAAAAATGGTAAACACTGGAAGACAATTTATAGATTTAAAAATATATTAAAGAAAAATCAAGAATTATCCCATGCCACTCAGGGTTGGTGAAATCTCAAATTCCCTTGGAACAACAAACTGACCAATTGCTGGATGAGGGAACTGAAATCATGACCCTGTAAACAAACTGCCTAAAGTGTGTAGCTAGAGACAGCCTACAGCAAAGATGGAATAAAGCCCTCAAGGAATAGCATCTCCTCCACACAGTTAACAACTTGATGATGTTCTTCAACATGTTTTAATGATTATCATACCTTCCTCTTCACAAAGGATTGATTTATTATGGCTTAAATTTAAAGAATACTGGTTTCCCAGTTTTGAATCAGGCTTAGATTACAGAACACATAAAATCAATGACTTTGTTCTAGGCAAGAAAAAACACAGTGTTCATTTAAGTGCAAAAGAAACAGTCCTGGGGAAAAAATTTATGTAGTTCATGCTAACTGTTCCCCCCTCTGCTCCTTCCCTCATCTTTGTCATCAGCACCACCACAATGAACACTTCTATGGCACCTTCAAATTCACAAGCAACTTCACATACTATTTATTTTAATCCTCAAAACAATGTTATCAGGAAGAATAAACGATCTTAGCTTCTTAATTTGCAGATTAAAAACAAAACAAAACTGAAGCTCAGAGCAGTGAAGTGATTGGCCCAAGACCATTCATCCTGTAAACGTATACTTGCCTAGGTATACTGATGACTTCTAAGTGTCTATATCTCCAGCTCAGATCTCTCCTCTCAAGCTCCAGGACCCACAATCAACATTCAACATCTGCACTTTGGAGTTCCAAATGTGGTTAAACTCAGTTTCCAGACTAAGTCCATAATATTCTCTCATAAACTTTTTTCTCATTCAAAGGTTTTCTTTCTCAGTGACTGACACCATTATCCTTTCAGTTGTTCAAGTCAAAAGCCTAAGTGTCCCCCCTAACTACCCCGTCTGCTCTTAATATATATATATATATATATATATATATATATATAGACTTCATCATCACATCCTATAGATTTTGCCTTCTGAAGATTCCTCAAATCTTTCCATTTCTTATTGTCTTCACCATGAACACTGTCCAATACCTCAGCATCTCACATTGAAATCATTTCCATGTTACACCCTGCCTTTCCCTCACCACCCCTACTCTACTCATATTCCATGCTGCAGCCAGAGTGATTCCCCTGCTTAAAATCTTTGGTTGGCTTCCCAGTGCTCTTCAGATGAAGAAAAGAATCCTTAGTGTGGACTATGAGGGCCAGTATGATCTCATCCTTGTGAACTGGCAAGATAAATGAGCTCTTTCCATAGTTTCAGAATACCATGATGTCATTTAAAAATGAATATTAAAGCTTCTGTTTTTTAATGCACATTTATTAATTGTAGAATGAAGATTGCACATATAGCTATTTTTAAGCATTAGTAACATATGAACATATATAAATCTTATTGTCTCCCTGAATTTCTTTCTTATATATAACCAAATTCATTCTATTATACCATATGCATTAATATCCATGCAAAAATCCTGTATAATAAAAGGCTAAGATGCAAATCAACTGAATGACTGGTCACTGTGATGTGCACTGACCACCAGGGGGCAGACGCCCAACACAGGAGCTGCCCCCTGGTGGTCAGTGTGCTCCCACAAGGGGACCGCTGCTCAGCCAGAAGCCAGGCTCCTGGCTGGTGAGTGCAGCAGCAGTAGCGGAAGCCTCTCCCGCCTCTGCAGCAGCTCTAAGGATGTCTGACTGTCGGACATCCCCCGAGGGCTCCCGGACTGCTAGAGGGCACAGGCCAGGCTGAGGAACCTCCCCCCCAGTGCATGAATTTCATGCACTGGGCCTCTAGTATAGTATATATAATGAAATACATAGGGTCGGCCAAAAATAGATTTACAGTTGTGAGTATGTGAAACACAGTTCATTCTCATGTTATTATTTTATTGTATTGTATTATTTCCATACAAACAACTGTAAACCTGCTTTTGCCCCACCCTGTATTATCCTATCTAATAAAAGATAAAAAGGGTAATTAACTGTACCACCGCTACGCTTCCTATTGGCTAATCAGGGTGATATGCAAATTAACTGCCAACAAAGATGGCGGCCGGCAGCCACGCAGCTGAAGCGAACATGAGGCTTGCTTGCTCCAGTGATGGAGGAAGCCAAGGTTCCCCTCCTGTTGCGGCCTGGGTCTGAGCCCGAAAGCAACAATGTTTCAATTATAGAAACTAAACAAACCCCAGATACCTGCTTTCAGCTGGCCGTGGCCTCAGAGCTGGGAGCACCAGTGACAGCAACAATGTTTCAATTATAGAAGGTAAGTAAATCTCAGAATAAAAAAAAAAAAAAGAAAAAAAGGAGAGGCTGGGAGCTTTAGTCACTGGCCAGCCTGAAAATGGCCCTCAGCCCCTCACCCAGACTGGCTAGGCACCCCAGTGGGGACCCCCACCCTAAAGGGGATGTGGCCAGCCTGAAAACAGCCATCAGTCCCTCATCCAGGCTGGCCAGGCACCCCAGTGGGGGCCTTGAAAATTTTTAATTGTTGAACAAGGGATCTTGCATTCTCATTTTCCCTCAGCCTCACATTGTTTAACCCATTCTTGCTAAAAAGAATCTTAATATATTAAAAGCCAAAGTCTTTCGTGTCATCAGGCCCCGAGCGTTCATTGCACTCTATTTCTATACTTCACGAACGCAACAGGAGAAGAAGAGCTGAGGACCACCAGAGTCAGAATTGTCGGTCAGTGGGAGGATCTACCTATATTGTGGCCAGTCATAGATTTCCGATGAACAAAACAAGCTTCTACTCAATAAATGAGATTTCCAAGCACAGTGAAACCTGGTTAACAACCTTGGCTAGTGAGTGAGGTAATACCACAGATGGGTAACTTGGAGCATGCCTTGGATTCAGCTGTCCTCATACTTGCGACAAATCTTGGCCTAGAATATGGGGAGTAGCTGGGCAAAGATAGGTGTAAATAACTTCACATTAGGAATATTTTTATGACTTATAAAAAGTCCTTCAATGCTTCTGTACTAAGCTAAATGAAAAACTGAACCCCTCCTGGAAGCCGCCTGCATGTGAAAAATGTTGCCCCAACTGCTGCTTCCAGGGTCGCAATTTTTATTGCCAGCAGGCGGTCTGATGGTGGGGAAATTCCTCGCAAAAGCCCACAGGTGCCCATTTTAAAGCACATCGTGTAGTATTTTTATCTTCTAGAAGTTGAAAGGCTGCTGGCATCTGTAAGTTACCATTTAAAAGATAATAATGATTATTATTATTTTGCTTCAAAAGCAAATAATCCTAGAAGAACTTGTTTACTACTTGCCTTAATTAACTTATGCAAACTTAACATTTAAGATCTAGGTAATATTTCAATTTTAGGCTGACGATTTTCCTCATGAGCTCAGAATTTATTTACAACACAAATATTTAAACTTTCTGAGAACGTTATGCTTTTAAGATAAAAATTAAGTAATAATATAGTTTCTAGAAATCCCCATTAGTGGTAAATGTGAAGCATTCATGTGCAATGGCACATTCAGGTATAATGTGATTGGTGTCAGACTTGGGTTCAAGTCTCTGCTTTGCTATTTATTATGTGATCCCGGGTACATGACTTGATATTTCCAAATTCAGAACAGCACAACAACACTGAATGAATAGGGCTGATGTGAGGATCCATTACATGAGTGATGTAAGTGTTCAGCACAGTGACCGGGACATGATAAACACTCCACAAATGCAGCTATCATCATTGATAAGATTTTCCCTCCAGAATTTTAATAGATTAAGCAGTTACCTTATTGACAGGAATAATGTTTTTGACATTATAGTAGAAGCCAAAATAAACCATGTTGAAAACTCCATGACGTCCCAAAGTTGCTGTAAGTCCTTTGTTGAGGCCCTGGAGTCCCAAACCTTCCGTCTTAATGATGTGTCTTGCGTAGCTCATAGTGGATGGCTGCTGCAGGAGAGAGGGGCAAAGCCAGAAAAGATCATCTTTGGGAATGTGAGATAGAATAAATTACTATATAGCTATCCTTCAAGCCAGAATTATTAGGGACTTCTTTCCCCAAACATGAGCAATCAGGTCTAAATCCATGCTTTTAAAATTAGGAAACCCAAAAAGTAAACAAAATTGCATGTATAACAACAGGCCTTAAAGGGAAGATTGTTGGCAAAGAGAAATATCTTTGGTGGAATTAGTGAAACTAATGTCATGTAATAACTACCACCACTTTCAACATGTTAATAGTTGTATTCAATTCTGGATTATCCACACTAATGGAGGGGATTAGCTATATGGATATACTGTTAATCCATATCTGTGTATAATCCAAAAGGAATTTATATTTGGTTCCTGAATTCAGTGTATTTACCTTTCCATTTCTGTTTTCTAAAGCAAATGTTACATTGCCTCAACAGTTTAAATGGGTGCTAAGCTAGAAATCAGGCCTGGCTAGATGATTGTAGACTCCCTCCGGAGGGCGGGCAATCAGCATGTGTATTACTTGCTGTGATAAATGACAAATCAGTGGTGTTGGGAGTACTGGGGTACCTCTAATTCACTCCTTTGCAGTCCTCTGATTGATTACCCAAGGTTGAAATACCTTGACTGCTGGAATCAGTCTACTGCTATTTCTGGAACACGCTAAAGAGCTCACTGTTCATTACAATACAATTATAACAACTTATGTGGGTTTTTTAAAAAAAGGTTGTTTCCTTTTTGGAAGTATGGTACAAAGGATATCTCTTCTTGTTAAATTTTCAATGGTAAATAGAAGAAATATTCAGTATTTATTTATTATTTTGCCCATAAGGCAAGTGTCTGGGCTGATATTTATATGCTATTTCACTGGAGCAGGTTGCTGGTGTGGTCCTGGCGTCTGATGTGCTTTCTGACTAAAGTGTTCTTATCATGTGCAAGTAAAGCTGCATCGGCAGAACAGAATAAAACAAACCCAAACAAGGCTTTTTATCTAACTTGTATTTATAGCTATGTCATTAACATGATGCATTAAATGAGCTTGTTTATATAGTAAATCCTATAGTTTTTACTCATAAATGTTTTTAAAACTCTAGCTATAATTCTACACTCAGCGTCATCTTTTCAGTTTAGAATATTAATTAGAATAAATTAGATTGAGCTTCAGAAAATCCTTTTTGTAACATGAAAAAAATCACATGAGAATGTATCTTAAAACAACAAAAGACATTTCATATAGGAGAACCAAAAATCCTCAGAAGGTTAGAGTTCACTCTGTTTTACAAAATGGGATGTTTTTGTTTGTGTTCTGGCACATTTGACTATTAACCCAAATTGTTTATTTTGATTTTCAAAATAGACTGGAGGACAAGTTGAGCAGAAGTTCATTTCTGTTGGAGAGACTCTGGATGTGCTGAGCAAACTGCTCTGCACTGCTCGCTTGCCCTGAGGACGGCGGCCTACAGGGCAGGGGAAAGGAGAGGTGGCACTTCCCCTGGGCAGGGCAGGAACAGGGCAGAAGTGAGGCCTCCTGGACCAAGGTTGATCAATAGTGGTGTTCCCTGCATCCAGCCCAGGCTTTCCCTCCCTCCTCACACACTCTGAGGCCTTGAGGTTCAAGAAGATGAGAACTCATCTAGATTCTAGACTCAGAGCAAAGGAGGAACCAACAGCTTTGAATGAAAGTGCAGATTAGCATAGCTTTCTCTAAGTGAAACAGATCTAAAGATGAGTCTATTGTTTAAAAATCCTAGTGTGATAAATTATCAGAATTAAAATAGTAGACTTCTATTAGATCTTGGTGAAGGTCAACAAATATTCAAGTGACTTTTACTGATGGTCTAGTGTCTGCTTTTCATTGCTTTGGGTGGTAAGTGGGTACAAGAAAGTATAGCACATGGATTTTGAACTCAAGTGCCTATTGAATTAATCATTAAATAAATCAAAGGGTAGTATAGTAGCTAGAAATAGGGGGTCAGAGCCAGACAGCCCCAGGTCTGAGTCTTAGCAGTACCACTTGCTAGCTCAAGTGATTATTTCATCCTCTGATTTATCTTCACTTTACTCAATTATGAAATAAGGATAATAATACAATCTTCTTCACAGGATTGTTATGATAAGTAAGTCAATGAACTATGTCCTATGTAAGAATTCACTGTATGCTAGCTGTTAATAATAGCAATAAGGCTTATAAAAAGTAGTTATAATAATTAAATAACAGATGGGAAATGACAATCAAAAGGTGGAGGCTGATTTGAGGGAGAGGAAGGACGTGGATAACTAGCCTCCTCCTTCTCATTCCTTCCTTTCCCTTTTCTAGAGCCCAGGACCCTTGTGACAAAGTCTAAAAGAAATGCATCCAGAATGCAAATTATAGGTTGGCTTCCTCTGAGGCTCACCAAATCCAACCTCTGGGCTAGAGATCTCCTTCCATGGTTAGTTCCTTACCCTGGAAGCGTTCCTCTTGGGAGCAGTAGGTCCTGTAAATTGCCTCTTCCCTATGCCTCAGTAAGAATTATCAGTAAGAACTCTCAGGCTGGGAATGGAAAAACACACTAATCAGGCCTTCACCTCACACATTCATGTATGTTAGCAGGTATCTGGAACACAGTGAGTGCTCATCAATATTATCCATATCCTAGATTCTTAGTACTTTACATAGCATCTTATTTAATCCTTTCAACAGGTGTGTGAGATAGGTATTATCATACCCTCATCTGACAGATGAGGAAACTAAGGTCAAGTTACTGACCAAAGATCACAGAGTGAGTGGTAATGTCAAGTGCAAACTGAGCAACCCCCACAACTCCAAGTTTGTACTTTTATGCTCTGCTTAGATTTGCCATCGTAGCATATATGATTTCTTCTTAAAAAAACCCTGTAAGGTGGGAAGTAGGTATATTCTCCTAATTTTTCAGGTAAGGAGACCAAGGATTGTTAAGTAATATTCCTAAACCCAGTGCTGTTCACATTCTGTGGACTCATTCTTGTTATACATACGCAGTAAGATTTTCAGAGTCTGATAATCCAACTCATTCAGGTAATAGATACATAATAACACAAATACATTTTTCTGATAACTCAGGGCATTGAGATTAAGGAAAACCTGAACTGAAATTCCCGTAAAAATTAGGAGTGTGCTTTTTGCTTCATTCAGTGACACTGCATCACACACATGTAAGCAAATATTTAATTAGAAAGGCAAAACGTGACTTCCACTAGGATGCTTAAATAGGAAAATAGAGAGTCATTTTGACTAGATCTCTGTAAACACAAGGAATTTTACTAAACTTATTTGATTACTGGGCTTCCATTTCAAAACCAAATGGTGACTGATTAGCAACATCAGCCAAATGATTCCAATACTATCCAGCCCAGCAGGTCACCCACAGTTTGGTTTCCTTCCAATATTTAGATTCACTCCAGTTTTCATATTTAGTTACCAAATGTGGGCCAAATGGCATTCTAACTTCCCTAGATGTACCTTTTATTGACTGGACCAGAGCTGCAAGCATGGGAGAACAGTGGATTGGAATGTAGCTGATATTGTGATACCACACAGCTTTCCCTGCCAGAAATATTTCCATTTGAAGGAACTCAAAGTCTTCTTTAACTTTGACCTCTGCTGTTGCCAGGTGTGAATTGGTGGGAACTCGCTGTTTCTTCCTGCGCCATTTATTTAACAATATCTATTGAGTACCTCCTAGTTGCCATGCACTGTGCTAAGTGTAGCACTTTGCCCATATCCTAGAGACATAAATGTTTTTGCTTTGGTTTTTATTTGGAGAGATATGCTGGTAATTTTTGTAAGTACCATGAAAGACAAAGCTGTGAGAATATTCCATAATAATTATGAAATATGGAATCAAATTTCTGTTTTAAAAGTCCTTAAGTTGCTCACTGGAAAGAGAAGGCCCTTTGCCTGTACCGTGCTCCCAGGCACCACTCCAGGGCTCCGATTCCTTACCCTCTGAGAGCCCAATATTACCAACAAATCACTGAGATGCCTTATGGCAGCCTAAGCTATTTTTCCTGGAGTTCCTCCCTCCAACTACTGTCCATAGCTGGCTCTGATTAGCTGGTGAGATCACAGACAGAGGTTTCAGGTGGTGAGCGCTGTTCCCCGGGTAAACAGCTATCAGAGAATGGCCACTAGGTACAGGCGAGGGGTGCGTGTCAGTGGATTTCTCATTCCTTCCAGCCAGGGAAGAGCTCTCGGCACACCAGGTCAAAACACAGCACGCTCCACATTTGTTCCTTTACTGCTTCCTAAGGCAAGGTGATTTTTGCTGCATTTTAGAGCAAATAGAATAAGGATGTTGCACTGGATTTCATCACACGGTTGAAAGGAAAACTGTGAGACCTTTATACAGTGAAGTGAGTGTCATCATCAGGGCCCTCAGAAAAACACTGCTTTGTTAAGAAAGAAAAGGCCCAACTGCCACATTCAGGTAGGAAAATACCCTTGCTCTTCAGGAGATAGATAATCACTTATGCTTTTCATTACCCAAATGAAGTCTTGAAGCATTTTCATAAATTTGAAAAAAAATTGAGAACAAAATGTAAGTGAGAGGAGAGGAATCAGGCTGAAAAATCCCACATTTACAATTCATTTTAGCTTAGATACATCACTAATTCATCATTACAGTTTATTTGAATAGGGCATGATTATGGACAAAAAGACACCCCAAATATAATTATGTTGTATCTAGAGTTTTACATTTGATAAACAGATCCATTTTAGAACAATCTGTGAGTGAAGAATGATTTGCTATAAACAAACTCTCCCAGATGCTGAGCCACAAGCTACATTAACACCAGGTTGATGCCCAGTAATGGTGCCTGGAGGAGCATGGGGCCCTCTGGGTGACCAGTGCTGACTCTGCCGGCCAGGCCCTGCATAGTGGGCAGGCAGGGAGGCGGTGGCCTCAGCACAGGGGAAACTGCTAACAAGAAACTGACAACATGGCTGCTTTTCT